TAACAATGCCCCCCCCCCCACACACACACACACACACACACACTGTATATAAAAGGTTGGCTGGTCCACCACTAAAAGCAAAGCAGCCGGCAACCGAAAGCTGGCGTGCCCGAACATCGCCCACTTTGACTCAATTCATGTGGGCGGAGTCAACGAGCGGCGGTCCGCTTCGAACTTCAGTCTCACCTTGGCCCCGATGTCCGCCAAGGACGAAATGTGACCCGCCGTCTTTCCCACCTGACACAGGAAGCCCTCCAGCTGGCGTTTCTCTACAAGGAACTGGACGTGGACCCACCCGGCGCTCGGCGCAGGAGGACCAAATAAAGTTGCGAGCACGACAGCAGAAGACAGAACAACGAGCCACGTGACTGCACTGTCGGTTTCTTATTGAGCGGCGCGCGCAGCCAAGCGCATCAGTTAGCAGGTATAGAGAATGTCCAAGGCGCCGAAATAGCAGGCCTTCTCGGAGATGAAGCACAGGCCCGGGTGCTTGGCGTGAAAGCGAGCGTTTGAGGAAAACTCCAGCATCAAACCCTCTCCCGCCTCGGTGGCGATCCCAGACTTGCTGACCGCTTGGCCGTCGCCGGCCCGCTCGGTGCTCATCGCGACCCGCAGCCGCTCGGGCAGCTCGGCGACCGCCGAGAGGTCGGTGACGGCCGCCCGGCCGCCCAAGTTCAGCAGCAGGAGGAAGGCGCGGTCCAGCCCGTCCAGTTCTCGCAAGTAGGCGAAGACGCCGCGGTCGGCGCCGACGTGGCAGAACCAGCCCCGTTGCAGGGCCGGCTCCGACTGCCGCAGCCCGCTCAGACGGCGGTACTGAGACAGCGCCGAGCCTTCGTCTCCCTTCTGGACCTGGACGAGGAGAAGACGCGTGGGAACCGGTCGGCGCTGCGGAAAAGGGAAGGCGCTTGGGAGGGGCGCCGCGTACCTCCACGTTGACGCTGCGGTAGTCGGGATGCACGGGCAACCACGTCACGTTGGTCCGGTCGGTGAAGCCCACGTTGGCGTCGGCGCTCCACTGCATGGGAGAGCGCTGAGGGGCTCCGCTCACGCTCTGCGACAAATAAAAGCGCCAAAGTGGGACTGCATGCGTTGCTCGGTGCCGTGATCGAATCCAAGCGATGAACCTCTTCTTCGCAGCACGAATGGAGCGACTGAGTTGAAAATCCGTTCTCCTTTTCAAAAACAGACGCGGCGCCCCTAGTGGCACTCGAGGGTTTTGCGCGGGCATGAGCGCAGTGCAGTATCGAGACGACAAGCGCAAATGTCAACGCGGTGCCGCATTGCAACTTTCGTCGGGATGTCCGCCCATCCATATATTGGCTTCTTTGCTTTTCCTCACGCCGCTCACGCTTCATCCCCCTCAAAGCGCTCGTACGGCATCGCAAACGGATGAAGCGTACCTCGTCATATCTGCCCGCCGAGTCCTCCGGCCGACTCTCCGTCACGTTGATGTTCTCCATGCCGATCTCCTCGCCGTAGTAGGTGATTGGCGTACCGGGAAGCGTCAGCAAGAGCATGTTGATGACCCGCGCGTAGCGCCGACCCACCGCAGAGGCCACGCGAGGCGCGTTGCGGCTCCCGACCTGATCCCGGGGGCGACGTCAGGAAGGCGACATAATAAGGCGGCCGGCCGTGCGACTCACCAGCCAATTGGGCCAGCGTCCCGCCGGCATGTTGGCCATCCAAAGATGCACCAGATGTTTGACCCACGAGCTGCTGGTGTTGTGAGGCAAGTCGAGAAGGTACAAGTTCAAGGGGAAGTCGCTCTCTTTCGCCAGGGGGGTCCCGTAGTACATCATGGTCTTTTCCACCTCGCTGCCATCGTATGACTCGGTCACCATTAACCTAGAGGGCGCACGCGCAGCGCTCGTGTGGGGGTCGAAAATGGGACGCCGGCATTTCCTGTACCGCCGTCCCCTTCCCAACAACGAACTGCGATGGAGGCGGGGTTTTACCGTACCTGTGTCTGCCCGGCTCCCGGCTGAAGACGTCCATGCGAGCCCTCCACTCCCTCAGCAGATCGTGCAGGCCAAGCTGCGTGGTGGTGAAGTCGTGGTGGAGGTCTCGCTCGGAAGTCGCCGACTCCTGCAAGAGGACGCAGCATCCTGCTCAGTCGTCTACCGTAGTGGGCCCCCGGACGACCATACAAGAGCCATCTTTTAGTTTCGACAGCGCCTGCCCTCCTCAGGCTTGCGGGTAGGATGAGATTGTCCCAGCTGACTCTGCGGGGGGCGGCCGCACACCCTGAAGTGGGCACCGGCCACTTACATGATCAACTAAGTTCGAGTCTTTGACGAAGCTAACCTGCATGTGATTGGAATGTGATGGGAAGGCCAGAAAGAACACACCTTCTTAGTCTCAGTCAGAGTGGGCTTCACGTACAAGTCACCGGCAAAGAATGGCAATCTGGAGAGGTGAGCCACAATGGTTAGCACGCCGCTGAAGTGTGTCCCATGGCTCCGCCTCAGGTCTTGACGAAGGTAGGCAGTGATCGACACACAAACTCTTGTGTCAACTTTATTTTTCTTTTGCGTTCATCTTCGGGGTAAGGCAGAGGGAGGGAACTCGGATTCCTCCAGAGCCATATGCTGCCTGTTTTAGATCCATCCCTCCTGCAACGCAGCTGATTCAAACGATCAGCTCATCGGCAAGCTCTGTCGAAGCCTTAAACGATCGTGATCAATTGAATCAGGTGTGTTGGAGTAGGGAGGGAAGGAAAACAGGCAGGAGATGGCTCTCGAGGAACCCGAGTTCCCTACCCCTGCGGTAAGGGGTCGATGGCGGGCGTTCGGTTGATCAAAAAGTAGATCTTTGGTCAAAAAAGGTTGGACACCCCTGTTTTAGAGAGTCTAGTATTCTATTGAGGTCGACGTATTCTGTGTTATTACGTTGCCATGAATCCATGAGGATAAAATCCAGGCCCAGGCAGCACCACAAAGGTGGAGGACGGTGGCCGGGACTGAGTTCTATTTGTAACTGCTTCTTTGTGGTTGTCTTTTCGAATACGGATCCTGTATATTATTATATTAAATGTTCAAGTAGATCTGTGACACGTGTCTGTGTGCGGTGCGTACGTGTCGACATTTAAAACACACACACACAGACACACAAAAAAAAAATCAATCATTAAGGAAACTTGTTGAGGTTCTGCTTAAACAGCAGTTGGAACTGCTCACTTCTGAAGGTGGCATCTTCAGTGACTGAGAATAAACCGGCCTGCTATCATGGTGAAGATCTGATAGCAGCCTGCCTCTGATTGGCCGAATCGTTTGATTTGACAATAAATACACGTGCGCGCAGGAGTGCCTGTTGCGTTTGGAAATAACATCAACTGCGTGCGACCGGGGAGCCATCGCACTCCGGTGACGTGCAGCTCGGCCCCCCCGAGTAGCGATTTGAGCGGAATCCTGCCTGCAGTCGAATGGTGCTGCCTCACGAGTTCATCTGCTGAAATCGCCATCTCCCGTTCCCACGTTTGACGGCAACACAAAAAAGCCGCGAAGGCCTCTGTACTTTTGCAGACAACGGCTGGCGGTCCGACTCACAGGGGGCATATTGGGGTCCACCTGGGGCTCGTCCCGCAGGTGCGCGGCCTCCAGCAGGTGCTTGACCGCACCCATCCGGAAGCCGTCCACTCCCTTGTCCAGCCAGAATTGGATGATATCCTGTAAAAAAAAAAAAAAAATGACACTTGCACTTTGAGCTGCAAGCCAGAATTGGATGATGTCCTGTAAAAAAAAAAAATGACACTTGCACTTTGAGCTGCGCCACAGTAGTAAAAAGCGCACAAACTCAAGTTAATGTGTAATATCATGCGGATGTCTCAGCAGTTGACACCAGCGGCGGCAAAAGAGATTTCGCTGCGAGCGATGGTTCTCTGTTTGACAATTAGCCGTGCTAAAATGTTTGGTGAAATCGAAAGGGGAAGTCGAGTCCAAACATTTCTTGACAATATGTTCTACGCCGCCTCCGCCAGCCTCAGCAGGGGGTGCCGATTAACGTTGCGTTTGTGGAAATATGAATCGCGCCGAAAAAGCCACCTCGTTTTTAGCAGTCTCCGGGGGCGGCCATTTTGCCTTGTGGTGCCACTCGCCGTCGACCGCAAATGACACGGCGGAGTCGAAGGGCTCGGCGAACGAGCGCTGCGGCTCGCTTGCTTTTTGGGTTTGCAATTCATTTTTCCGCTCGCTATTTATTCACTGCTTTGGCGCCCGGGCCAAAGCCACGTCTAACATGACAGTTTTGCTCGGGCGCCATCTTGTGATGTCGGCATTGAGGTGAGGGAAGAAATTCTTCATGTCATCTGGTTCGCTATAGGAGGCGAGGCTTCCCGAAACGTGACGCGACGACACCCTCGACGTGTGCGTGCGTGCGCAGCGGCGGCGGTCTTACGAGCATCTCCTGACGGACGCGAGGGTTTCGAAAGTTCAGGTCAGGTTGCTCCTTGAGGAACTGGTGCAGGTAACACTGCCCTCGCACCGCATCGTACGTCCACGACGAGTTCCCAAACACGCTCACCTGGAAGAAGGGAAGCAGAGAGTCAAAGGGGAACGGGAGGCTGACGTTTTCTTCTACGTGCCCCCACACGAGTCCCCCGACTTCGATTGCGTCGGTGTCAGAAGAATCAAGCAAATGAATCCAAGCGTTTTAATCTCGTCTCGGGGCGTCGACGTTTTTCTTTCATCCACGCGACGTTGGCAACGGCAGCCCGCGGATATTTCGACTTCTCGGTTGCGCGACGGGGAGATGAAACGGGACCCCACCCAGTTGTTGGGCTTGGGTTCTGTGGCACCGCAGTCGGCCCAGACGTAGTAGTCGCGGTAGTGTGGATCTCTGGCGCGACTCAGGTTAAACCAGCGGTGCTTATCGCTGGTGTGATTGGGAACCAAGTCCACGATGAGCTTCAAACCTGGCGGGAGCAGAGACAGTCACATCGCGCCAAGGGTGCCGGCGACCGCCGGCGACTTTGCGGGCGTGGGGGGGGGGGGCGCTCCTAATTGTTTA